AAATAAGATCAGAAATGAGAGATGCATCTAAAATAGGTCTTCAAATGCAAATTTAAGGCCAATAGTGAGAGTAAAGTCAAAACAGTGTAGGTAAGCCAAGACAGTATAGTCAAAAGGTTTAAGTCAAAGGAGAAAAATAGGTATCTGAAATTGAACTACCTCAGCTCCATAACACCAATCATAACAAGCACATCGGCTGCAAGACACCAGGGATGCTTCTCCACAATGAATCACCAGAATCTGAGTGGTCCTAGGAAAGTGAGGAGCACCCCACAGCACTAGGACTCAAATCAAGCTTTCTATGACACAAAATTATGTGTTCTCAGACCGTATGCTAGCTGGCACTCTGCCATTCATCCTTTCGACTTGCATAAAGAGAGTAATTACCAGTAAGTGCCTTGTCCTCCCAAAATAGAGCTGATCTAACACAGGGCACGAGACAGAAGTAAAAGCAAATCTCAGCATGATAAACAAGAAAGAGGGCTAGCATGTGATCTAATTTGCTTAACAATGAGTTGAATGCACACCCAGCCAGGGCGCGTGCGCGCGCACACACACACACACACACACACACACACACAGATGCACACACACAAACACATACGTACACATGTACATAAACACACATACACACATGAGAGTGTGAGTGCACAAGCACATACACACTGTCAGGCTTCTTTTCTTTCCTTCCTGCATGACAAAGCACAAAACATAGCGAAAAGGAACGATTAGGTTTTCATGTTAGGAGAGGAGTTTTTTAAGGAGAGGAATCTTTATTAGAGTGCTGCATGGTTTTCTTCTTATTACTTTCCTTTCCAGTCCTACTGGTATTATATATGTTTTTCCTTCTCCCATTTATCTTCCTCCTCCCTCTCTCTTCTTCTCTTGTATATCTTTTCTTCTCTTTCATCTTTTCTTCGTGTGTGGTTTGGGGGATTAAATCTAGCAGCATCCTACCATCCTACTCCCACAATTCCATGCGCATAATAAAGGAATAGTTAGACGTGGTGAAGCGAACAAGCGAACGTCAGTGGAACACTGAGGTCTGCATCTTCACCAGCAGAGCAACACTGAGATTCACAAACTACCCGTACCAGTGCACGTGCATGGGGGCCCCTGTGCATGTTGGCATAAAAGGGATTCATTTGAAACCGTTCTCTTCTCCCACCACTTCCAGAATTGAAGCTCAGTTTCCATTAATAAGCCTTGGGAAGACCAATGTTAGGGTCCAATCGGGGAAGACACATCTGGCCCCTTTTAAGCTTCTACCTTGACCCACATGCACCTCATCCTGTCGAGATTTCTCATTTACAAAAAAACTCTGGTTCCTCCCTTAATTCCAATCAAATAGCACAGAAGTGCTGCTGCCCCAGATCCCAGGGAAACGGAATGAAGGGGTTGCTGTGAGAAATGATGGAATCAATGGGAACTAGCATTTTTGCTAGTAAAAATGGACCCTTTTCTCAATAAAGTCTCAGTGGGCCTCACGCCCACTCATGATCATGAAATAAGAAGTGAACTGCCGAAATGTAAAGGGTTTACCTGAAAAGAAAATGCAAATCCAGGCCCCAAGAAATCAAGACCTGGGGCATGTTTCAGGAAAAGAAGACAACACTCAGAAGAGGAACACCTCGCTCACCACCTCGCTCACCATGGGAGTTCCTATGTCACTCTAACTCCCCATATCCCATAAAATCACTCAAACCTCGAGCCATTCAGAATGGAGATTTGGGATAGATGGTCTCTTTAATTTTCCACAGGACTGGCCTTTAATATGCTTCTGTCCAAGTGACAAAAGTTAATCTGAGATTCCAGTAATATTGGAGCCAACCCTCTAGTTAGGGACTGTACATTTTTTGCATGTTCTTTCCCTGTCATGCATGTAAAAGAAAAAGAAAATAGTTCAGATGATAACTGTGGTTAATGAACTTTGGATTGATCTATTTTTTGAAACAAATTTATAAGATATATAGACAAACTACTACTGTTTTGACTTTGTCATTCAGCCTTCTGGGGATCCAAGCTAGTTACTTTATGAGAAAGAGATAGTCCTCAGGGAAGATAACTTACTTTGTACTCAGTATTATTGTAGCATTGATGAGGTAATGCTTATTAATTGTTTATAACAGGCCAATAAATACCAATTGTGTATGTTGCTCAATGTTTTATTAAGTCCCACAATAGAAATATTTTGAAGTGAAAGTCTATGTTTTGAATCAAAAAGGGTGAAAATCTTATACTTTATGTTATATTCTATGATATCTAATTGTGTAAGCTTGATTGTGTCGAAAATCGAAAAAACTTAGATTCACTATAGAATAAAGGAGGGAATGAGAGTGCCTGCTATGTTAGCAGTCACTCAGTCTTATCTATCTGTTTGTCTGCCTGTCTATCTTTCTGTCTCCTATCTGTTTTCTATTTTCTGTCTATCTTCTATTGTCTATTTCTTTTTCTTTCTCTTTCTCCCACCACCTTCCTGGCTGTCATGCTGTCATGCCAAAACTGATCCAAAAAAGATTTTATTCACTAACAAGTCTGTTTAAATATTTGTGAAAGGAACAAATTTCTTGCACAACTTCCAAAGTTATACCCTTAGACAATAAGTGAGTCAGGCATCTTCAGGGGCATATGCTTGTGTTAATGGACCTTCAAAGTGTCCTTTCATCTGTTGTCATCTAAAACTTTACGGTGCAAGTTGGCTATGCCCAGAAGCTTCCACGCCCATCACTTTAATCTCCATGGCCTTAAATTGATCATGGTTAAGAATGATCAACCTGTATGTGTAGGTCTCTTGAATAAAAATCCCATGTTCCCTTTGTTTGAGAAAATGACTCACCGGTTGCCCTTGGTTTCTTTAGGTAATAACTCTTTCCCACAACTTCATGTCTTGACTGTAGTACTTGCCTTTGGGTTCACTAAGGTATGAATGCATGGCATCTGGTTGCAATAGCACTGAGATGCTGTAGACAAGATGGAGTTAATGCTATCAAATATTAGTTTGGGGGCCGGGCATAAACATTAGCTGGTAGAATACTTTCCTTCTGTACAGTAATCTATCCCTAGCATATCTTAAAGTGTCCATGGTAGCACAGCTCTGTAAACTCAACATTCAGGAGGTAAAGGGCAGAGGGTCAGAAGTTCAGTTTTATTCTTGACTATATCTGGAATTTGAGGGCAGCCTGGGATACTTGGGACCTTTTCTCAAAAAAAGTTATAAAAATGATTTGCTTGTAAAGCTGGCTGTGTTTCCCATGGAATCAATCTTAGTGCCTCTCTGTAGTGGAATCTGAAATGTTAGGCACCTCTGTCTTCCATTCACTATAATTTTGCCTGGGTCTACGCTGTCACCTGCTATGAACAGTATAAAATTTATGAATGTTTATAAATGTTCCTCCCATAGCACAGTACCTTTCAAAAATTATTTACACATAGTAGAACACACTTTATACACTGCATTCAAAAGCCTAATCTAAAATGACAAGATGCAGATAATAAACCATTTGAAAACATCGTGTCTCATGTAGTCAGAAGACGTTCCTACTCATGACAAAACTTGGAGTCTCTTAACCATTGGTTGTGCCCTGAAACCACAGCAGGAAGCACATACCCAGCAATAATGAGGTAAGCTCAATTTTCTACACAGCAGGAATGAGAGCAGTCTAAATTGTAACAACATTTCAGATGACTTTATATAAAGTATGGAGACAGAAATTCGACCTCCCTCCCACATCTCAATGAAAATGCTGCCCATTGAGTGACTCAGCCTGCAACCATAAACAGGAGCCTGGTCACAGCATGCTGCAGGCAGCCACAGCAGGCTCCACATTTGCTGACTTCAGCATGTGTGAGGACAGCACACAGCTATGGCAGCCAATCTCACTGGAAACTTCTACCTGGTGAACAGGCTGTAGTCTCAAAACAGAAAGTTCAAATGGCCATATCCAGCTACACAACACAACGTTTTCACTCTATGTTAATATGACAGTTGTAGACTGTATTTGGCAGTAACAATTTTCCAGGCATTCTGCTTACTTCTTTAATATAACTTACACAATTTGATACTTACAATAATGAATAATACTATTGTTTTAATCATGTAATCATTTAATGTACAGAGATGTTAGGAAAGTTACCCAATGACAGTTACAGGATTAGGATTTCAGCACACACTTTCAGGTGTGCTGGCTGCCTTACAGGGAATGCTATCCTAGTTTCACCCTATGCATCCTTTGTTCTTTTGAAAACAGCCAAGACATCTACAGAGTCTTCATAGTTACAGGGTCTACTGTAGCAATATGCATAGTATCCACAATGAGGCAAGAAATGAGGACATGATATTTGTGATGGTCTCTGGGTTCACTTTTGTTTTAATTTTGCTATGGAAAGGGTTTAAGAAGATCATTTAATCTTCTCCAGTCCCTCAAAGTACATAAAATACTTATTTAATAATTGACATATTAATATTTTACATACAATTTTAGCATGGCAACTATGATCAAGAATTTATTTTAAAAACTACTGCATTTAAAAATAGCAATTTATTGTTGAAAGATTGAACGATAAATAGTAAGAATATTAGTTCAATATGATACTTCTCTGATAGTTTGTTGATTCCTAATGTGAAACTTTCAAATGAATAATCAAGTCTCTACATGTCTAACAGGCTGATGGCATGATAGGTTCACAAGAAAGGAAGGGAAACAAGAGCTTTACCATTGCCTTTTAGAGCCCTCCCTTTATTGCTATCACTAGTAAGTAGTGTTTTTCAGGGTTAGTTTTGTGTGTGATGCTCTAGTTTATTTTAACTTTGATTTGATCACTCACATTTATTTTTCATTTTTATGTTAAACGATCGTTTTAAGTTGACCTACTAGTGAATAAAAAAGAAATTCTGCATCTGTTCACAAGACAAGCAGGACCTGAGGTCTGTCCTTAAAATTATTCATACCTTGGTTAGCAAAAATGTCAAGTTATATCATATCTTCAACACCAATACTTACATTCAGCATATTTCTGAAGCTGGGAAAATTCTGAGGGGCTGAGATGGGCCCATTTCTCCTGGTTTGTCATGGCGTAGGTGAGTGCCTTACACACCGGTGGAGGGGTTCTTTATCCAAGTGTTGTGCAGAACTCTGTGCTTCACGGATTCTACACAGTGGGATTCATAATGACATAGCTCAGGCTTTCAGCATATTCAATCTGACCACATGAAACAGCTGTGGATACTTGTAGTTTCAATGATGTGTTAAAATACTGTAAAAAGAAAAATGGCGATCAAAAGATTAGAAATATTGAACAGAGGAAAATGCTGAACATAAAATAATAAGCATAAAATTCTAAGGTTTATCTGTCTTAACTAATACATTATGGATTTATTTTATTCCCAATGTTTCCAGTCTTTAATTGCCTCTTCATTCCTTAAAGGCCTTCCATGTTCTTTCTGTAATACCAAATAACATAAATAAATGTAACTAAGAGTACAAAATGAGAACATTTTTCTTAATAACAATATGCTGACCAAAGTAAATTTGCTTGTTTTTCTTTTATAAAGTCCACATTCCAAGGATAGATGGGAACATCATTTTTATGATTTGAACTCATCACTTTTAAAATATCTAAGTAGTGTCGAAAGCAAAATCTATACACAGCTTATTAAAGGGATTGGAAACAATATGCAATTTGCTAATGTACTAGACTTCCAGTGGTGTTCATTAATAGTACTTAGCACTAAACTATATATCTAGCATCATGCAAGTCAATTTGGAGGTCCTACAAAATTACTATATAGCAATTAAATTATGGAATATTTTAGTTTTATAATCTTTAAATTTTTCAATAAATGTGCCAAATCAAAGTAATTCCAAATGTCTACAATAGTTCCTTAATGAGATTAGATGACTCTAGTGTGAATCACATTTTAAAATAAATCCCTGTGTTGTCCCAGGCTTAGATTCACTGGCAAATTCAGAAAGACAAAAAGTGAACTCCATCTGGTTTCAGTGTTTTATCAGAGACTGCTGTAATCAATTGCTCAGTACTGAACCAGACTGGCATTGGAATCTTTATTAAAACTGAATCTGGGAAAGAATTACTTTATCCCCAAAGTTGCATATTGGAGGGTTCATGGAAACAGGTAATTTTAGTTAAAGCCATATTACTTGTAGCATGACTGAGAAAAGGCAAATAAACCTACAACAAACAAAAGTTTATCTTTTATTTTTGGTATGTCATTTGCAAGACAGTAGCTTGTTAATTGGTAAGAAGCCGAGCAATCCAGATGTGTTAACAAACGGCCAAGCTATTTGAAACCAGTCAGGACACACATAATGGATATACCTTTGTCTCCAGCTGATTCAACTGCACTGATTTCACCCCAACTTTTTGTGCTTTCCAGCCCCGTGAAGTTGTGTAAAATGATGCACTCTGTCCTCCTTATCCAGAGGGAGACAGATGACCCAGTCACATTTGCCTCATTGCATGCTTGTTCACAGGGTTTTAAATGTTGAGTGCAGTGGCTGAAGGACATTACAAAAATAGTTGGATACACATTCCCATCTGAGACTGACTCGCAAACTTTCTTATTGCTTCCACAAGATAGTGATGCCCCTTTTATTAAAGAGTTATATGTAAAGACATACCAAGACTGTCACACATATGTAAAATTCATATGCATCAATCAATTTAAAAAATCACAGATAAAATGGGCAGGTCAGTTTCTGGTCTCTATAAGCCCTAAATCTCTTGTAATGATGATAATTCATGAATTCATTCCAAAAGGGTTTTGTGAATCCCTGTTACTCCACATTGTAGTCAATGGAGACACAGCAAACATGGAGCCAATTATGGTGAAGATGGAAATAATGCCGATACTTAAAATTTGTCAGTTGTCAGTCACTGAGACTTTATAACACACATCATGTGCGTTACATAATGTACTCTTCCCCTTTCAGCTCTGTGAGAGAGGCACTGATAGTGCCTTTGATCTTTCATCAACTGAGTAAATTGACATGGGGTGATTGGCATCTTGGGGGCATAGCACAGTCTGTATCCTCAATTTCTGGTCCTTTCCATGTCTGTCCTCCTCCACGTCCTTGGCAACAGAACTCCAGTGAGTGTATATAAATTTAGACTGTGTTATCAGGTTCCTGGAATGAATGATTAGTATGAAATATAAGAAGATGCACATTGAGATGTGCTGGAATATTCTGTTAGACTAAAATGTGCCTAAGTGTCCTTTTAAGACCCTTTAGCTGTTCTTCCTATCTGGTGATATGTCAGGTGTATGTCAAAGAGTTTCTTGTATTGTGGAGGTGAATGTTAGAAGGGAAGCTCTGAGCTTGCTAAAGCCCAATAACTTATCTGGGATATAAAAATAACAAACAGTATAACAAATTCAAGCCATTTCATGTTCTATGAATAAGGTATTATTAGAACAGAGACATGTTCAGTAGAGAAAGTAGCAACAGGCATTTACTTATTTATTGTTTTTTTGAAGACAGGGTTTCTCCGTGGCTTTGGAGGCTGTCCTGGAACTAGTTCTTGTAGACCAGGCTTTTCTCAAACTCACAGTGCTTGGATTAAAGGCATGTGCCGCCACCACCTGTCAGAGGCCTATTTTTTCTTTAAAGAAGTGTAATGTTTTTTATACCAAACACTGTAACAAGCAATGAAAGATAAGCCTAAAATCATTGAAAACCTCATTAATCTTACATTTTAAATAAAAGAAAAATCTATATCATTTTATCCTAAGATTCCCTTTGAAATTGCTTCTTAGTAGACCTTTAGGCTTACTCCTTTTCTTACCACAGGCAACTTCCAAATTCCCCTGTTGTCCTTAAACATTCATGAACTGAAAATTTGTCAGTGTGACAAATTGCCAAATGAAACCTAGTCAGTTATAATGTATAATAATTTATAAGGCCCAATACAACTCACATCTCACTTAATTCTGTTATGAGGAGACAAATATTAAACAATGGAAGTTAAATATTTGATTGTAAACATTGCATTCAAACAAATATAGGGGTGGTACTGTGTGCAAATGTCCAATTCCAGACCAAATGGAATGACTAGAGACAGTGCAATGATCTCAGGTCACAGGGCACTTTAAAATTTAATTCCTTAGTTTTAATGAGTGGGGTACAAGCAGGAAAATGTAGCTAGGAGAACTAATACATTGGGTCTATGAAAAAAAGACAAATATAGCTTGCATAATATCAGAGTCAGAGACACAGCTATGCTTCATGCCACAGAGGGTGTTGAAAATAACGACAGCACTTTCCCACAATCTCTGCCTCCTCAAAAATGGTTAGAAAGAACGTGACAATATCCAAGTGGGAATCCCCATGGTGTGTTCCCAGATTTCCGTTCCCCTGCAGACAGCTTTCTTTAGGCACATAAAATGAGTGCCAGGAGGGAACCACTGCGCTGGCTTTCGGAAAGCAGTCTAATTCTGGCTTTCGCATCTAGTCAACAGATGCGCCACTTTGCTTAGTTAGTGGCAGGAAATAATTACATTGGCGGAGCTGAAGAAATCTATTTGGCCCATTGTACCTAAGCTGAAAAACATTCTCCATATTAAAGGAAGTACTCAATGTCCTTTGGAGAAAAAAAATCAACAAGGAATATCTAGATAAAAGAATCTGCAATTTGTCAGCTAGTGTAGGCTTTTAATGATTATACAAAGTCACATGTCATGACCCTAATACCCGAATAAGAATTGCTGAGTCTTAAGGCGTACTGGGGAATATAAGAACATTAAAGTGTTGCGATGATAGAAAATATTGTCAGGATCTCAAGAACCATAAACTCCTTGTTAGAAGGGAAATAAAAGGAAAGGAAAACAGTGGGAATGGATAAAGGTTTTCCCAAAGACTGACAAACAGCAAAGGACATTGCTGTTGCTTTTGGTTGAGCACCAGAAATGAATTTGAAGATACTGTTGCTAAATACACGACTCACTTTGATCACAGGGCATGGAGAAATTAAACTAGACCTTAACTGGAAGTTTCCTCAACACTCATGCTGCAGATGCCGATGATGATGATGATGATGATGATGATGATGATGATGATGAGAAAGTGGTCTGCTCCTGGCTTGCCCTAATCCTCTTTCTTATCTTCTATAGGAAGGCTTTCCTGTGAGCTTTACATTCCTAATTCCATCTCAGTATTTCCTGGAAAAAGATCCCTGAACTCGGCAGATGGCACACTTAAATTGAGTAATTAAGAGTTTAATGACAAGGTATTTTAAGAAGTAATGGCTGTGTTTAAGAAAGCTAATCGAGGTTGGTGCAGTTGCCTGCTCTAACAATAGGTGAAAGCTTACTAACTCTGTACCTGAAACAAATAACAAGTGTAAGATAGTTATGGACAGGTGGTTTAAAGGTTTGTCCCCTCTAAACTTGTACAAAAAAATCATTGTCATTGTATCAGTACAAAAAAGTAGGATTCGGGGGAAACGATAAGACTATGTTAATCTTTCTGCCCTGGGTAATTAAAAATATGGCATTCTTAGCCCTTTTGCCATCTGCCCTTCATCATGAGAGGGCATAGCAAGACAATCTATGGCATTTACATCATGAGTTTCTGTTTTTAAATATTTTGTTTACTTATCGTGTGTGTGTGTGTGTGTGTGCATCAGTAGTCGCACATGTGTGGCATGGCACATGTGTAGAAATCAGAAGGCAACAGACAGTATTCAGATTTGCCCACCTACCACATGTGTCTCAGAAATAAAACTGCAGTTATCACATTTAGTGACCACTGGGTCTGAACTATCTCAGCAATCCTATCGAATGCTAAGAAATTAAATTTCTGTTTATTTTAAATTACTCATTTCCAGAGAACCTATTACAGCCGCATACAATGGACTGAGATAAGGGCCTTGATTTCTACAAAGAGAATGTGACCCTCTTACTAATCTAGCCACGCTGGGAGCAAGGTGATAAACTCTTGACTTTATCTGGCCGTGTCACCAGTCTCCTTCAATACATCACGTTGATCAAGTCTAACCATAATCCAGAAAGCAAACACCGGTCTTTGATGGGAAAGCAGGCTCATGGAGCACAGAGTGAGATGAGCAAAGGAAATCAGGGCTACTAAAGTGACAAAATAAGAATTATTCAACTCCCCTGCTGCTAGACTTTATCATCAAACGAACGGATCTAGACAAAGCTGTAGTGAGTGAGTTACCACAGGTAGAGACAAAGCGGCAAAAGGATCTCCCACAGCATACCTGGCCACACCTCTAAC